TACACCAGGTGTGGGAGGAACAATGGTAAGATAAAGCCCCTGGTCTCCTGGAGCTGGTGTTCTGGTGGCGGAGGCTGACGGGCTTATAAACACAGAAACACTTGAAAAGCGTGTATTGATCAGTGCCGCAAGGTAAAAAGACTTGCCTCCGACAGCACGCACTAGAGGCAGGTGAGACCCAGTCAGATGGGTCCGATGCTAGGGCCCAGTGTCTGTTTACAATCTCTGTGCTCTCCTACCTTCCATTACATCATAATAAATTGTGGTAAATCAGCTTTTCCTTTTGGGACCCAGAACTCTGGTTTGTCCTGCCCAGGTCTGCAGTGGTGGTCTTTCGAGGTGAGGGTAGCAAAGTGGCTGAGCTGTCCTCAGCTCTGAACTACCTCATTTCTCCTCTCAGGATCAAGCACCCCAACATTGTAGCCCTGGATGACATCTATGAGAGTGGGGGTCACCTCTACCTCATCATGCAGCTGTGAGTGGCCCCACCCCTTGCTCACACCTCCCCCTGCTGCCCCTCTCTAGCCTCTGTGGCCAGACTGTCCTGTCCCCGGCTGCAGGGTGTCCGGCGGGGAACTGTTTGACCGCATTGTGGAGAAAGGCTTCTACACGGAGCGGGACGCCAGCCGCCTCATCTTCCAGGTGCTAGATGCCGTCAAGTACCTGCACGACCTGGGCATCGTACACCGAGACCTCAAGGTGGGGTACGAGGGTGTGTGGTGAGCTGGGGTGCCGGGTGGGGCCTCCGCAAACCCCTCACTGTATGACCTGGGGCAACTCTTACCCCTTCCCTGAGCTTTGGCTTCCCTTCTGCAAAATGCACCCTGTAAAGCCTAAACTGCCTCCTCCCCTTCCAGTTTGGACACTTAAATGGATACAAAGGTGAACGGAGCTGGTATTTTTGTCCAAATAACGGCTAGGTCTTTTTCTCATAATAAAAGTCCCCCTTGCTCTTCGTAGAAAACTTGGAGGGGACAGCAAAACATAAAGAAGGAAGCCAGAAACCCCTGAAATCCTACACCTCAGAGACCATGATGGATTCACATTTTGTAGTACATCTCCTCCGGTCTAGAAAAGCGCTGGGGTGAGACAGATCTGGGCTTGAATTCCGTCCCTACTACTCCCTAACTGTAGGTTCTCAGGCAAGTCACTTTGCCTCTCAAGGCATCAGTTTTCCCATCTGTAAAGTGGGATTATTCAGATCGGCCTGACAGGGATGTGGTAAGGAAGAAATGAAATCAAGCACTAGCACAGGATCTGGCACACAGTAGGTGCTCAAAAATTATTCAGGGCTCACAATATAAACCTGAGGTTTATAGAAAATTCCCTCTCACATTCCTGAGGCCCTTGTCCTTTCTGGTACTTTTAACCTCCTTGAGAACTTCCTTGAGCTTCATGTGCCTTCAACACAGTGGCTTTTGGGAGGCTCAGTTTTTGAGGGGTGCTTGGGGAGGCAGATGGTTCTGCCAGCGTCTGGCCATCTCTGCCTCTTCCTTTCCCTCCCCCTTCCAAGCCAGAGAACCTGTTGTACTACAGCCTGGATGAGGACTCCAAGATCATGATCTCTGACTTTGGGCTCTCCAAGATGGAGGACCCCGGCAGTGTGCTCTCCACAGCCTGTGGAACCCCAGGATATGTGGGTATGGAGCATCCTGGGCTGGGGCCATGTGTAGGGGAGGAATTGGGAGCTACAGGGCAGAGATTTGTCACCACCATGTCCCTTTCCCTCCATAGCCCCCGAGGTCCTGGCCCAGAAGCCCTACAGCAAGGCAGTGGATTGCTGGTCCATTGGGGTCATTGCCTACATTCTGTGAGTGGGGGCTTGGCCATTGGGGCATGTGGCTCCAGTGTTCTCCTCTCCCCTACTTTGCTCTCTTCCTCCTCTCTGCTATTTCTTCTTTCCTGCCGCCTATGTTTATATCTAGCAATTAATGAGTAAGATTACTTCATTCAATATATACTATGTTTCTGGCATTATGCTAAGCACTGGGGATTTAGCAGAGAACAAAACAAAGTGCCTGCCCTCAGGGAGCAAAAACTCTAGTAGGGGAGATAGATAATAAACAAGTAAGTACATCTATAAAATAATGTCAGGTATTAAAATACTATGAAGAAAAATCAAGCAGGGTAGGGAGATGGGGATGGATGCCATTTTAGATAAGGTCAGGAAAGTCCTTTCTTAGGAGGTGACACTTGAACAGCCTCCTGAATGAAGTGAGGGAGCCAGACATTAGAGGTGTGGGGGAAGAATGGTTTAGGCAGAAGGAACAGCAAGTGCAAAGGCCCTGAGGAAGGAAAGATGGTAGAAAATTAAGAAACAGAAAGGCCAGTGTAGCTGGACAGGAATGAAAAAAATCAGAGAGGGGCAGATATCTCCTCTTTGTAAAAGGGGGAACTCCTTCCTGTGGGTGCTGCCTGACCCAAGACTGCCCCAAAGCTCCTTCCTGGAGCCAATGGGTGCACTGAAAGTGGATATGAGGATGAGTTTCTCCCTGCCCAGGCTCTGCGGTTACCCCCCCTTCTATGACGAGAATGATGCCAAACTCTTTGAACAGATTTTGAAGGCCGAGTACGAGTTTGACTCTCCTTACTGGGACGACATCTCTGACTCTGGTATTTGAGGCTTTGCCTTCTTCCCCTGGGCCCTACCTCTGGTGCCTTTCACATCTGTTTTGGGGTCTCTTCACTGCCTGCCTTTGGTCAGATTCCCCAGCCCCAAGCTAAGAGCTGTTTTCCAGACCAGACACCCCACCCCAGGTGCTTCCCTCTGCCTGGCCCCCGGTCTGAGAAGCTTGTAGGCCTGCATTCATTCACCTTCAAAAATAGTATTTTTGAAAATACCTCACCCATTTGACTTCCTAATGCCTCAAACACCACCATGAAGGTTCTCATCTGTCCTTTTGTGCCTCCTATTAGGAGGCAAACCTATGAAGCCATTATCAGTCACTTACACATCAGTGTGAATACACTGAGTAGAATCTTCTTTAAGAACAAGTTTTTCATACGGGAAAAAGGAGAGAGCTGGAAGGCTGCGGTGGGGGGGGGGGCTTAGAGAAAGAGTACAAGTGGGATCGGGTGCTGCATGGACAGATCTGGCCTCTTGTCTTGCTTAAATGCCAGGCCAGACCTGAGGGGGTGGGTTTTGTCTTGGGGGTGTCCACAGGCACCACCATGCTGTTTCTGTCTTTGCTCTTGCCTTGGGGGTTCAGCCAAAGACTTCATCCGGCACTTGATGGAGAAGGATCCTGAAAAGAGGTTCACCTGTGAACAGGCCTTGCAGCACCCATGGTGAGAGCTCCCACAAGCTGCAAGCTGGGGTGCGGTCTGGGGCCCTCAAGGCTGCCTCTGCCTTCACAGACAACCCTCCACACACCCCCATCCTAGGATTGCAGGAGATACGGCTCTAGATAAGAATATTCACCAGTCGGTGAGCGAGCAGATCAAGAAGAATTTTGCCAAGAGCAAGTGGAAGGTGAGCCCACGTTCCTAATCCTGGGTCCCAGCCTCCCTAGGCGTCCTTCCCAGCCCACTCCAGACCTCAGCTCCCACAGCACCTAGCATCAAGTCAAGCACACAGTAACTGCTCAGGGATGCTTACTAAAGAAACTCATTCATTCAACACTCCCTGACACCTACTCTATCCCAGTGAGAGTCCCTGACCTCCAAGGCTAGAGGGAGAACAGTATAACTCAGAGACATCTACTCCAATCTACGGGGTCCTGGAAGGATGCTGATGGCCTGACAGACCTATCAGACTCGACAGCTGAGTAGGAATTAGCCTACTAAGCCTACTAAGGCAGTAACCTGCCTTCCAGAAAGGGCTCTCAGGGTGCAGAGAGAGCCATGGACTCACGCCTGGGAGGCTGTAGCAGAGATGTGGGCAGGAGATGGTAAGGGCTTGGACCAGAGAACAGTGGATGGCTCAGGAGTCCTTTAGGAGGTAGAACTGACAAGTGATGGTAGAAGAGATGTTGGCAGAGAGAGATGTCAAGGGCTAGCCCAAGATTTTGGTTGGGGAAATGGTGAATGGTGGTACTATCATTGAGATGGGGATCCCAGGGGTACACACCTGGGGGGGGTATGATTCTGGTTTTGGACATGGTGAATTTGAGGTATGTGCCGGACACCTTGGTGGATATGTGAAGTAGAGAATGATACACAAAGGTACGTGGGCAAGTTATTCAACCTCCCTGTGCCTGTTTTCTCCTGTGGCAATGGTGACACTAACAGAGCCCACCTCAAAGATCTCTGTGAAGATTAAATGAATTGCTAAATAAAGTGCTTAGAACAGTGCCTGACACATGCTGCTATATTAAGTGTTTGCGATCAATTAATTATAAAGGGTTATAATATATACTTGTTCATATACACATATTTTATATATATGCATGTATGTGTGTGTAAATATATAATATGGCTGAGTGTCATTTAATAAAGACTTGTAGAGGTTTCAGGGGCTTTAGCGGATCAACCACTAACACCTGAAGGAAAAATAACAAAACCAGTGCAAGAATTCCACCACTAGACCCTGTCACATGATCTCCCCCTTCTCCCCACAGCAAGCTTTCAATGCCACGGCTGTGGTGCGGCACATGAGGAAGCTCCAGCTGGGCACCAGCCAGGAGGGGCAGGGACCGACGGCGAGCCACGGGGAGCTGCTGACACCAGCAGCTGGGGGTGAGGACCAGTGCTCTATGCAAGGGCGTGAGTGGTCCATGAAGAGGCATCCAGGCTGGAGTGGAGGGTCTGCGCCTATGGCCAACTCTGTTCTCTCTCCTCATGCAGGGCCAGCAGCTGGCTGCTGCTGTCGAGACGGCTGCGCGGAGCCGGGTCCGGGACTGTCCCCTGCGCTGCCTCCACAGCTCTAGGGCCCCAGATCCAGGGTCCAAACCCTTCGCGTGGGAGGGGTTGGGGCACCCTGCTCCCCATCCCTCCCTGAATTGGAGAGTTACCCTGCCCCGCCGCCTACCCACCCCTTTCCCTATCACTCCTTTGCTGCATTTTCCATACAAATGTTTCTATTTTATTGTTCTTTCTTGTAATAAAGGGAAGAGATAAAAACATAGGTAGCTCTGTCTCTCCAGGGAATCCCCACCCCACACTGCTGTGCAAACTACTTAATTTGAGTGCACCTGGCCCCTGAGGTAGTTGCAGGATGCCCCCTTCCCAACACAAAACTGGATGGGGGGAGAAGTATTTGGGGAACCCCTTTGTCCAGTGCCCCCCACGTAGCCTTCTGGGTCTGTAGATCTCCTGCGCTTTGCTGGTGGCTCCTGAGCCCGGTGGGGTTGGCACAGGTCAGCACTGAACAGTACCTGGGGGCAGCAGGGAGGACACTCTTGGGGGTCAGGGTACACGGAGTCAGGGCTGGTGGGGCTGGTGGCAGTGTGGAGAGCTACAAGAGTTCACGGGGAGCAGGGTCAGGGCAAGGAGCGCCCACTAGAGTCAGGGCTTGGGTGCGTGAAGAGTCCTGGAGGACCACCTGGAATGGCAGTGATGGTGGAGGAGTCAACTGGGTCAGGGCTGGGGGAGGAGTCCTAAGGGGTCTGGGTGGGAGGAGGAGGAGGAAGAGAAGCTTCAGTACACTTACTGCTTGGGCCCAGCCAGCATAAGGTCCCCACAGGCTCCGGAAAAAGCTTCCTACACCAGAGTGATAAGGTGAAATTAATTGGCCCTCCTACTCCCTATCCACAGGAGTGGGATTTTATGGAGAGGTGTGAAAAGTTTCTACTACCTCAGCCCACTCCCAGCTCCAGTGTCCCACTCTCTCCTTACCCAGTTCTCTGTTAGCCTGGGGGCTTGGACCCTTGGCCTGGGACGTGGTGGGGTGCCAGCAGTAGTCACGCTGGGCAATCTGCCACATGTGGACATCCACGGGCACGGCCTGGGGCTTGTCTAGGGCCATCAAGCAGATGCAGTCAGCCACCTTTGAAAGAAAAAGAGTGAGCCACAGAGGAGGAATGGCAGGATCCAGCCAGCATCCTGCTTCTGGTCCCAAAGCTGGCTGTTTCCTTCTCTACTCCGAGGTTACTATTATTTTATATTCTCCATCAATATACACCCTCTTGTAATAACTTTAAAAATAGCTATGATGAGATTTCTACTGTGTAAACACCCATGTGGGCCAGGTTCTCATCATAACCTGGGAAGAAGGCAGTACTATATCCATTCTGCAAACAAGAAAACAGGTTCCGAAAGGTGAAGTGACTTAGCCAAGGTTACATGGCTAGAAGAGGCAGAACCAAGATTCTCTGTTAGGCTGAAGTTCAGAGCCCATTAAAAAGGTTTTTAAACAAAAATCCATTTTTAATCTAGACAGAAGTATAAAGAAGAAAACAATAAATGCCCAATTCCCAATCATTTTACTGCTAGCAAACCTTGTTGATATTAAACAAAAACTTTTATAAGTACATATAATTTCAAGATAAGAACAACATGAAAAGGAAAAACATCTTTCCACTTGTCTTCCCATAGGTAACCACTATTAAGTTTCCTGTGGTTCCTCCTGGAAATTTTTGTACACATATAGCAGTGTATATGTGCACCTGAATAGCCTTTTTAAAAATGCACTCAAGGGACAAAGTCCTGTATACTCCTTCTGCACTTTGCATTTTCTCTAATAAAACATCTGCTTGTATCCTTTCTCTTCCTGCCCTGCCTCCAGAAGCCAAGCATGTACCCAGCTCTCAGGCTTGCCTTGTCTCCTTCTCTGCTATTCTCCACATGGGTGGTAAGGGTAGCTCCTATCCCAATGGGACCTCACCTTGGTGCCCACCCCGGGCAAGGTGCAGAGGGCCTTGTGGGCCTCCTCGTAAGGGGCCTTGTGCAGCTGCCGCAGCCAGGGCAGCCCACCCTGTTCTTCTAGGATGGCTCGAGCACTGGCACTCACGTAGCGGGCACGGTACCCCAGGCCCAGCTTCCTGAGCTGAGCCTCTACCTCTGGCCCTGTTGGGAGTTGGGGAGAGTAGGGGTCAAGCATCTTCAAATACTTCTTGTCTTCAAGCTAGTGTGTGAGCCCTCTGCCTCACAGGAATGCTTTCCCTAGGCACCTCTCTCCCACCTCATTGCCCTTTGGGAGATGCCAGGACACTTACTTGTGCAAAAGTAAGGGTTAAAGCCTGGGTTCTGCCCCTCTACAAATGTTTTCTGAGCACCTACTACCCAGTGTTGGGCACTGGAGCAGGGACAAGAAGGACTTGCTGCCCTGGTGGAACTCCCCAGTTGAGTTCTTTAACCTTTCCGAAGTGCATTCACATCTATGATCTCAAATAATAACCATAATAACAATAGCTTCTATTATCAAGTGCTGGGTATCGTGTGGGGGCAAAGTGCTTTAGGTACATTATTACACTTTTCTCAAGGACCCTGACGACAGCACTATTATTTAGGGTAATAACTTGCTCGAGAAAGGACAGGGTATAGATGGGATCTTGCACCCAGGTCTGGGAAACCAAAGCCCATGCTCTTAGACCCTTAGAGCACCCTGCCTCATGAATGCTTTACTCACCACTCAAACCCTTCTGAATAGAAACTGTTATTCCCACCCTACAAACAAGAGAAGCTTGGATAGGTAAATGAATTCTTTTGGTCTTATGACTACTGAACTGGGAGCTGAGACATAAGACTGGGTTTCTATTCCCCAACCCCCCCCAAGATGGGGTTTCTAAGTACCAAAAACATTCTCTTTTCTCTAGCTGGCCCGTTTCCTTACTATGCAGTCCCTAAGCACGTCTCTTCGCTTTATTCTCACATCTGCCAACAGATATATTTGCCTCTGTAAAATACTTGCCTTACAGGGCTGCTATGAAGAACACTAATGTTCTTGGATGCAAAATTTTTGGGTTCCCTTAGAGATGGCAACTTAAGTTTTCTGCATAATTCCTGTATGTCAAACACTGTCCTAGATGCAGTATGTGTATTTCTTTACTTCACCCTTGTGGCAACTCTGATAGGTAGGTGCCATTATTATCTTGTTCCAGATGAAAAAACTGACAGAGGCTAAATAATGTGCTCAAGGTCATACAGCTAGATGTCAAGTGCCAAAGGTAGAATTCAGACCTAGGCAGTCTGTCTCCAGAATGAATGCTCTTAACCCCAAAGTACCATATACTATATATAGTGGGGTTTTTTTGTTTTGTTTTTTTTGATGAAGCACTGAACCCATGGGGTAAAAAGCAAAGACTAGTGAGCTGCTGACATTTTAGGGACAGACGGGGAGGATTTGGTGGGGCTGATCAGACCAGGCAAGTTGGTTCTGGAAGTGTTTGGGAAGGCAAGAAGCTTTGAGATGGGAGAGGGGACCAGGGGAGAAGTGAAGAGACCCTGAAAGCTATTGGAGGGTCTGAGGGCAGGGACCCACCTACTCACCAGCCAGAGCCTGCAGGCTGGGGAAGCCATGGTAGGTGACATCATCAAGCTGGATGAGCCGAGGTCCGAAGGCCTGACAGAGCCGTTCTACCATGCCAGTTATGCGAGCAATGTTGTTGTTGGAGGAACAGATGAAGGAGAAAAGGCACTCGATGGGGTCCTGTTGCAGGAGTCGCACACCTGGGGAAAGGTAGGGGATAGGATACAGACCTGCTGTCAGGAGTGGCCTCTTCTCACCCTCAGATCCTAGGCACCAAAGACCTAGAAGCATCCCAGGGGAATGATGGACAGTATTTTTAAAGAAAGCAACACCAGAACTCTCATTCCTCATAGAATCCATGAGGTCTGGGGTATCATTACATTTCACAGATATAGAAGCCACAATGTAAACACTATGAGGATGGGGATTTGTGTCTGTTTTGTTCACTGCTATATCCAGTCACATAGCAGATGCTCTGTAAATAGTTACAGACTGAATGACGTCACCTGCCCTAGGTCACACAGCCAGGATTTGGCCCAATATCCTTGTCACTACACTGTGGTAATCAGCAGAACAATAATAATAGTAATAAATAATTAGTATGTGTCAGGCACTATTCTAAGCAAAACTTTACACGTTAAATTAACTACTTTAATTCTTGTAAAATTCTGATTTACGAATCCTTGTAAAATTCTGATATAATCCCCATTTTACAGATGGTGAAACTGTGTAATTTAACCAAATTACAAGAACTCCAACCCCTGCCCCAATCCTTGAACTCACCTTGGAATTTCTGAGCCACTTCTTGAAAGTGGGGGTCCACAGAACTCCAATGGTGATATAGTTGAGCCAGGCTGACATCCAGCTGGAAGTACTGGTGCACAGTCTTTAGCTCTTCTGGTGTAGGCCTGCCAACCCATCCCTTGTCGCCTCGGTACACAGTACAGTAGAGCTGCTCCTCAGTCTGGGTCAGTGTCCATACCTGGTTCGCCAGCACTCCAGTCCAGTGCGCAGGGTTTTGTTCCCTCCACCTGAGCCCCCAGGCACACAGCAGCCCTGGTACTCAGTTTTCTTTCTTGCACCCTTTGGGGCCCTCCCATCCTACAACAGCTTCATACACAAAACTGACTTAGGAAATGCCAAGTCATTTGATCCTCACAACAATACACTGGCTTTTTTTTTTTTTTTTTTAAGTTAGCTCCATGTCCAGCGTGGAGCCCAACGTGGGGCTTGAACTCAGGACCCTGAGATCAAGACCTGAGCAGAGATCAAGAGTCGGATGCTTCCGACTCGGCCACCCAAGTACCCCTGCACTGCTTTTTTACCTCCACTTTATAAAGGGGGTAAACAAGCTCACCACCCGTGCCTCAATTTCCTCTTTTGTACTCTGAGGTTTCTGCCATTACCCCCAACATTCCTTTACACTCCAGACCTGCAGTGTCGAGGGTCGAGGAGTCAGGGTCACTCACCGGAAGGACTGTCCGGAAGCCAGAACCAGGTCCAGGCGCAGCTCCGAGCGTGGACAGGGGATGGAGGCCCACAGGGCCGGGAAAGAAGCTAGAGTACGATGCCCCATGCTGCATAGCAGAAGGGAGCGAACAATTCCACGCCAGGCTCCGCCTCATAATGGCCCCGCCCACTCGGTACCAGATCTCCCTTAGCCAAAAGACCACGCCCACACAGGCTACACAGCCCTTAAGGCCTCGCCCACCAAGCCCTTGTCCCCTAGTTTACTTAAGGCCCGCCCAGTTTCATTTAATTCTTCCACTCCCCGTAGGCCCCGCCCCTTACGGTCCGCAAGGGCACCTCCCCCTCCAATCCTCCGCCCTTCCTCCTTACGTATCCTCCCCAGCCCCCGCCTCCCGCGCGGCGCGCACCACTGTCCTCCGAGCTGCAGCGACTTTGGGAAGCGCGCGCAAATGCACTCTTCCGGCTTCCCCAGGGGGCCGACCTCATTCTCCCCGGAAGTAGGACTCAGGCCTGGCTTATTGGATCCGGAGGTAGCCAATCCGCGAAGAAGTGAGAGGCGCCAATGAGAACAGGGTGGGGTGGTAGGTGGGCGGGCCTCTCTGAGGCGCCGCAGCGGTTGGCGCGCGCTGGGCTCGCTGCCCGCTCTCGGCCTCTCCTCTGGGGATGTCTGCACTCGGCACGCCAGGGTGTCCAATCCCCGCGCCCCGCGGACCGGCCGCAGAATGCGCTCTCGGGCCCCAATCCTTACGGCCTGATCTCCTCAGACCCTCGGGGTTCCTCAGGCTTGCCTGCCCGCAGAACCAAATCCTGTCCCTCACCGTCCTCAGAAAGCCTTTCTCCACCGAGCTTCTCCAGTCAGATATTCGCTCTCTTGACCGAGAATTGGACCCGAACACAGCTCGGGCCCCTGCGAGCCCCCGTGAGGCGTCTCCACAGCCTCTGTCGCCTGCGGATCCTGTCTTCGCACTCGCCGGCTGGGCCGCTCCGCTCCAGAAGGCCTCACCGAGCCTCGACTCCGCGGTCAGGCCTCAAGACTTCACTCCGTCAGAGGCCGGGCTCCTCGGACTGCCGCGGCCCGGCCGCCGCTGCGGTGCCCAGCTGCTCCCTTCAGTCTCGGGGCATTCCTTCAACAGCACTCCATCATCTCACACCCGTGCCCAGTGGGGCCTGTCTGGGCCGAGGAAAGATGTTTTAAGTAATTTTTCCCTTGTGGAGGAGCACAATCAGCAAGGAGCTAGGAGACAGGAACTTTATCTGGGCCACTTTTCACCTTGTAGAGCAGTGATTTGGGGTGACTGTGTCTGAATGAGTAGACTGCAGATTCCTCAGGGGCAAGATTTGCAGCTGATTTGTGTCCCACCCACAGTACCTAGTAGGGAGCACCAGGAGCATGGTTATCATCAAATGGGTGTTTTTGTCTGCTCCACTCAACAGCTGCAAGGCCCTTGAGCACCTACGTCCTGTGGCTGTCTCATCTCTAGGCGTGCCAGCCCACAGGTGCCTAGCACTTGGAAAGTATTCCTTCAGTAACTGAATCTGTAAAGGGGGTGCCAAGGTTGGGAATGAGTGAAAAGCAATCCTCTACATGCCTGCTCTGGCCCCAGTTAAACAGGTGAAGGTCACAGCTATAGAGACTCTGAAACACCTGGACTATCCTACTGGCAGAGGACTTGAAGCATCTGAAATTCATGAAGGGATGGGCAGTAGACTCTTCCTCCAGCAGTTCTGCATGCTGGCTAAAAAGCCAGCTTGGCAGACAAACACCTGAGTTCAAATCCTAGCTCTGCGACTTCCTAGTTGTGGAAATTTAGGCAAGTTAATTTTTCTTAACCTCAGTGTCCTTGTGGAGATACCCACTCTATTATTAACTTTCCCCAGAGTTATTGCAAGGATTACATGAAATTGTGTATCTAAAAGTGCTTAGAACAAGGCCTGCCACTGTTAAGTGCCTGGGAAATGGGAACTGTTATATCATCTTTGCTGTTGTCTTACAAATGCAGCAGGCACAGCAACCAGCAACCTCTTGAGCCCAATTATTTACTATCCCTGGGGGACGGAGCTTCCCTTTTTATCCCTTTGCCCTGGCAGGAGGTAAGAACCCAAGAATTCCAAACAGACCATTTATTTTCTAAGAATCAATATATTTTCTTCCTTTGAAATAAATACAAACCAGTTTGAAAGGTGGGGGAATCTATGGGGAAAAGGGAAGTGGGGACAGGCCCCAGTCTTTTTTAGTACCAAATGACTCTGGCGCGACCCGGAAACGCAGTTACAAATGAGAATAATTTAAATTCTCCGCTAATTACAGTATTTACAACAGCAGGGGAGGGGGTCACCTAGTGCCCCTCTTCCGGGCTGGACAGACATCAATCCCACTGCTAGGCTGGGCAGATGCCCTCTCACCTCACCACCTGCAGGGGGCCTCAGGCCACTAGGCAGTTACAGATTCTCCTGGAACAAGCAGAGCAGGCAGAGGTGGTGGGATGGCCTGTTTTATGCAGTGTCCTAACCTTGGCCCACCACCCTGCACTACAATGCTGTGAGGTCTCTGGAGCTTTCTGGCCAGTGGGACCTCCCTTCTCCTTGCGCAGAGCCACCATGGGCCCTTGGAGTGTTCTGTACAGTCCAGCTGCACTCAGGGCGGGAGGGACCTCCCCCACCCAGCTTCCCCTGAGACTGGCCCCAAGACCAGGAATGAGTCAGTGCAGAGGCCGGTGCCACTCCAGGACAGTGAGCAAAGGGGGGAGGAGAGAGGTGGCAGGGCACTGTAGGTTGGGCTGTGCTGGGCATTATCAGTCACTATCACTGGTCTCACTGCTCTGCTCGCCCTGCACCTTGCTGCGGTGCTGCAGAGCCCTGTGGTAGGCAATCTGCACTGACTTGCGGATGTTGGATTTGCGGCCCTCCAGCATTTTTTCCTTGTCGAGGTCCTGGTTCACGCCCAGAGGAACCAGCTTAGTTCTCGGCAGCCACTGCCTGTAGGACGAGGTGAGGATCACATAAGTCATCTCTGGGAAAGCAACAAGCACCAGCCTTCATCACACACTCATTCAAAAACACCTCCTGAGCGCCCACACTGAGCCAGGCTCTGTTGGGCAATGGGGTTACTGAGACTAAGAGAAATAGTCCCTGCCCTCTAGGAATGGCTCATAGTCTAGTGATGAAAAGAGCCCAGTCAACAGACCTACTACGGGGTAACCACAGGGTATTTCTGAGTGCAGAAAAGGCAGAGCCATGACCTAACCTGAAATAGGTACCCTGTCCCATAGGCTCCTGGCAGACTTGATGGACATTAAATATCCTCTGCAGACAATGCACAAAAGCACATTACGTACATGTGACAGAACAGAGATTCAGAGCGTGAATGTTTATGCTTGTTTTATCCCCATCTTGTCACCATGAAGGCAGAGGTGGGAAAACTAAGTGTAGAAGCCTCCTAAGTCTGGGTGGGGAGCACACTTGTCACAGTCACTAATGGCCCTTCGGCTTCTAGCTATAGCTGTTTGTCAGTTGCTACCCACTCAGGCTCTCAGACTCATGGTCAACACAACCCTTTTGCTCAAAGATCTGAATCCCTCCCCCTCTGATTTGTGATAGCCCAGTCTGTCTTGCTGGAATTTCCTGGCAGCCGGCCCCTATACCCAGAGTTGCATCTGTGGCTGTGAGTCACACCAAATGCTCCCCTCCTCCCTTACCAGGTTCGCTTGTTGTCAAAGAAGAGGACGAGGTAGAGATGCTCTCGGGCTTCCTGGGTCATCTGCTCCCCAAGTTTCAGCACCTCCAGTGGGGGCACAGGAATGGGAACCCCATGGTGGAACATACCTTCCCGGGGCATCTTTGGATCAATTATCTGAGGGTGTAATAAGACCTTTGTTTGGTTCAGTCCCCTTCTTCTGCACGGCTTACTCTACCTAAGAACTGGGAGACTATCTCTGAAGTGGGGACAGAGAAAGGTTATTATGCCACAAGGCTGCAGTGCTGACCCTTGGCTTCTTCTCATGATGAACTATTTCAGACCCAAGGGTACAAAGGGAAGGAAAAGGGAGACATGGAACAACTAAACAGGAACCTCTCAAGTGTCTATCTGCCAAAGACCCTTGTTCTCTGCAGCTCAGCAGAAAGTAAGTAAAGTTTGCTAACTGTGCCTGCCATCTGGTGTTGGGAGACAAGGGGTATGATAAGAAAAGGGGAAGCCTACCAGAGCTGGGTATGATGGATATCCTCGGCATTTGGCCCACACCAGGTCCAGAGCATCCAGGGGCGAGTCTTCATCCTCTGACAGCCAGCCAGCTCCCCGTCCCAGACTCTTCCTTACCACTTCACAGGAATGGGAGAGAGGGGGTGGATCAGCAGCTAGGGGGCTGGCAAGGCCCTGACACCGGGCCCCCGGCATCCCTGGCCTTGGGTGAGGGTACTTACTGCTGTGGCCCACGCCGCGGCCAGTGCCCACGGAGTAGGCCTCGTTCTCAGTGCCTGAGGTATCTTCACTGCTATCTTCCGGGAACGTGCCCCGAGAAAAGGAGGGCTTGCCCCGGCCTTGTTTTGAGGGTGTTGTGCTATGGACAAGACAATAAGAACTCAGCGTAAAGGAGGGGAAGAGTGGGTAATGGCATGGTAGATGTCCTCTCTTTAAACTGGGCCCCAGGGTCTAAGAATTTTTGAAAGCTGAGGCCACTTGAAAAATTTCAAACCCAAATGCCCTCAGGGTTGGCAGTGATGTGATGGACATGAGCTGGATTTAGCAGTGGTGGTGATGAGAACACCCCGTCTAAAGGCAGCACTGGCTAGGTTTGCCAGATCTGATTTTTAAAGAGAATACAGACGCTAGGAATTTTATGTGGGAGTACTGGATTCATTTTTTAAAAAACACCATGCTGGCCAAACAAAGTATGTATGCAGGCCAAATCCAGGCCCCAAGGCATCAGCTTACACTCTCTGCTCTGTCAGCTTAACCCAGGATGGTTCCCACTATTCCATTATGGTGACATTCTTATATATGCCGTTTATTTTGCAGAGAACCTTGGGTCTGAGCCATCTTAATCTAGGCTGAGGTAGCTGGCATCCCACTTCATAGGGAAACGTGGAAGGGCATCCTGAAGACGGGCCTTGATCTGGAGGGCTGATACCTGGTTCGGTCTGAGGCAGCGCTGCTGCTGCTACTGCTGCTGGACTCAGAGTCGGAGCTGCTCCGGGGAAGGCTGCAGTCATTACGATATACCAAGAAACTCTTCTTCACTGGCTGATTTCCACCGCTGAAGCCATTGGCTGGTAAGTCTTGGTTGGCGGGAGGGGGAGGAGGGAAGGAATCGGTCAGGAAGATGTAGATCAGAGATGGCACAGGGGTAGGGGGGACTAGGAGCTTAGCTTTCCCTTCTGTGCTGGAAAATTCCTCCAACTTTGGCCAACAGAGCCAGCTCTGGGCAGGGTCTGCCACAGTTGGCCATAGTCCTGCCCCACCCCTTGCTCTTCCCTTGG